CAACTCCAGCTACGGTGTTAACGCAATTGCGCCGCGCAGCGCTGTATTACCCATGCCTATTCACTTAGGTCGGTGTTATGCAGAAATTTTGTTTGGCAAACTGCGTGCAATTGTTGTTGCAGCAAACTCGGAGAGAGCGAGTTTGGCGACTCTCACAGCAAACTAATTTTGTTTGGTCAAACTGCAGCAAATTCGGTGTTGTCATATACAAAAATTTTAAATTTTGCGCGTTATGTACATCTGAAATTCTCTCGTGTTGGCAATAGCCATGAAAACCATAATGAACGTGCAACCCTGTGCCAAACTCGACATAACCACCTTCGAGCAAACTAAAGAGCGAAATACACCACACAAGCGGTTTGACAAACCAAGCGAAATTTCCCTTTGCTTCAAGCCATTTGTGCTGTGTATGGGGGTGTTTGAAGGTTTGACAAACCGCCGTCAAACCTTCAAACACCCCCATACACAGCACAAATGGCTTGAAGCAAAGGGAAATTTCGCTTGGTTTGTCAAACCGCTTGTGTGGTGTATTTCGCTCTTTAGCAACCGCCATTTAATTTGGCAAACAAAAGTTTGCTGCATAACACCCATGAACCAAAAATACAAGATCACCTAATCAAAGAAGCAAGAAAAAAGTATATTTCTGAGTGTTTTTGACATCTGCCTAAGAATGAAAACAAACAAAGAAAACGAAAAAGGCGCGGTGATTGAGTGCGTTTAAATTGGTATTTATTATAAAATATACAAAGTGAAACTTGATGACAATTAGCAAAAACAGTTCATAAAATATGGTTTTCATGATTGAAAGTGTTTTACAATCGCATATCATTACCACGGGTCGATTTTTCAATGCCAACGTTCTGGCCACAAACGTGCACCCACTTTTCACGCAAATTTACGCCTTTTGGCAAACCAAACATACGCACAAACTTGTTCCGATCACACAGCACTTTATTTTATATCATAAATATGCAATAAACCAAAATGTATAATTAAAATCGCTGCAGAAAACACATTCAATCGCTAAAAAATCACTACGAAGAGGTAGAAGACGGTGTAAACAAAACCGAAAAACGTCAAAAACGCTACGAAAACTTTTTTCTGAAAATCGATTACAAATACAACGATGGCTGATTAGGTGATCTGTAGTCGTTGGTTCATGCATAACACCGACCTTATAGAACGTAATCTTTGTAAAATGAGAGAGGATTTTACGTCTCAACTGCCTACTCAGTCCAAAGTGGCTAGGGATGCAACATCGCTCTTAAAAACATCGATGTTTGAAACGATGTTAAAAAACATCGGTTATAAAAACGATACATCGATGTTTTACCGATCTTTTAATTTCGCATCTACTACACGAAATAAAATGTAGCCTAAAATATTTTTAAATCTCGAAAGAACTAGATTCTCATATCCGCTACAAACCTTAACTTTATACAAAACTTTGAAAAACTCAACACACTTGTATCTTAATTTTGAGCTTTTTTATCTGAATTTTTAGAAAAAGCCGCGATGTTAACATCGATATTTTTGGACGAAACATCGATGTTTTGAAAACCTCGATGCATCGTTTGCATCCCTAAAAGTGGTACTTGTTTGCAAGAGTGATTCCCCGTCTACTTTTTCAAACTTGTAACTGTCAACAGTGGCATGTGTGCCAAGACGCGTATGCTCTGACTATAGGTGCGTTCGTTTAAAATCTCCAGTAAAAACCAACCAACTGCCCAATTCCGGCGAAACGTTATCTGTTCTCTCACAAGAGAAAAATATCCCAAATAGTACGCGAACAGAAAATTTGCAGAAACTTGCAAGTTAAGAGCGAAATACACCACACAAGCGGTTTGACAAACCAAGCGAAATTTCCCTTTGCTTCAAGCCATTTGTGCTGTGTATGGGGGTGTTTGAAGGTTTGACAAACCGCCGTCAAACCTTCAAACACCCCCATACACAGCACAAATGGCTTGAAGCAAAGGGAAATTTCGCTTGGTTTGTCAAACCGCTTGTGTGGTGTATTTCGCTCTTTAGACGAACAGCTGGTATAATTTTTGTTTACATTCAAAAGTGTAAAATTTAAAACGTTCGAAAAGTCATCACAAAGTGTTATACTGACACAGTTTATTGATTAAACAAATAACTACTTATTTCTTACAAGTTTAATTAGTCGCATTTTGTAATTTTTAACTTCCAAACCATCAAATTCAATTTTGTGATTTGCGTAAATGCCAACCAGCTGTTTTTGATCAGCTGTTTTCCTGTTGGTTGTATTTTTATGAGAAGCTGTTTTTCATGACAGAAATACACTCGGAGGTTTGCCATTGCCTGCCGAGGGACGACCGCTGTTAAGAAAAAACCTTTTTTCTATATTTTTTTTTGCGATGTTTTTACTTATGCAAAATCTCAAAAAACCAATCAAGAATTTGATACAGATTAGGAATTAAAAGATTGACATGATATTAATGTCTGGACATAAGATATCTTTCCAATTCTCATTTAATTGCTCTAGTATTGGTAAAATCTACCACTCCTATTCGGCAACTCTTTCGTATTCGGATTTTACTACGAATCGTAGAAATAGTATGCTGCAATCCGAATCGTATTTTCGAACTTTCGAAATTCGTAACAATGACATGCCTTAAAACGAACGAGTAAGCTTTTTTTGCGTAATTTTGTACGAAAACAATTCTGTGTCGGAGGCGAAATAAAAGATGTAAATCAATCATGATGCAATAATAATAATGCATTCAGCTATCTTCGAAAAACAACAGATAGCTGGCAATGCTGCACATGTTTCCGCAAGGGTTGCAGCATGTGGATTTTACGTTTTTCGTAGCGTAGCTACGAATTATGAATTACGAAAATTCGGGTTCTAGAATAAGGGGGTATGATTCGGTCTCCAAATAAACGCAGCACATCCCAATTTTGACCAGCTACGCTTCATACTTACCTCATTCAGATGGGTGGAATTTTGCAGAAATGTATACAATTATCGACCTAAATCGTTTGATAAAGTTATGAACTTTGCTTAAATAGATTTCCATACAAAGTTTGACAGTTCACTTATCAACAGTTTATACATTCCGGATAATCCCATTTCACAGCCGGAATAAACAGAATGCAGAATGAAATATACGTTAACATATCATCAGGAACGTTCTAAAGAATAAGTAAACAAACAAGTTTATATCAAANGAATGAATAAAAAAAAATCGGCCTTTGTAATATGTTTGAAAATTGGATTTATACGGTTCTTGTAATACATCACACTTTTAATAATGTAGAGAAGACATTAGGGGTTTTCATCTAAAGGGATAAAGGATAAATCGCTTAGGGCCAATGGTTCAATGTCTGACTAACACAAATCGGAGGTAGAAGCTCCGGTTAAGTACACTGACTGCTTTATCGATGTTATATCGAATATATCGAATGTTATATGCATTATGTCGAAAAAGTCGATAGTGTAGTGGTAGTGATAACCACACATTGACCAACCGGCTATTTATTAGTTTATCCGCATTCTTTCATGAACTTACCGTGGTAAATATCACATAAAAATTTGTATTATTTAATTTATATCGCCAGTTATGTTACATTCTTACCTCGTCGATTGGGTTCATTTGCTTTTTATGTGTTCGTAGTGAGACCGGCCCCGTCGCAACGTGCAAGGGTCGAATTTTGCTTAAATTTATACATTTATCGACCAAAACCGTTTGATAAAATGATAAAATTTGCAAAAACATGCAAAGTTTGACAGTTCATTTATAAAAATGATATATTTATAATTTCATTAAGTTTATCAGCAGTTTAACACTTTAGATGAAGGCCGCTGTTCTAAATTAATGTACGTTTTTTGGAGAAATCATCAATCAATTAATAATAGATATGATAGAATATGTTCTGTATAACAGATGACTTCACAAAAGCGAATATAGGTGCCTTTCCATCTGTCTTTTCTTATACCAACTTGATCAAACTTTGATTGCGATAAGATTTTGTATTGATGATCTTAAATTCCCATATCTTCCGTTTTATCGATATTTTTATTTAAAAAAATTGTACCGTATGGAAATCATAAAACAATTGAAAACAAAACAGGTTATGGTCGCTCTTAAGTCTTATAATTATAAAAATAAAAAAAATAAGAAGTAATTGGAACGTAATACAAAAATTTATTGTGTTTTATCGAAACGCTCTGGACAAATCTGGATTTCCGTCGCATAAGTTACAGTACGCCGATACCTTTTGTGTTTTTTGGCATAATCTCTCTGCGCTATTTTAAAACTTATTCAATGTCTAGAGAAATAACATTGGTCAACAGTTTTTGTTTTGAATGGCGGCAGCGAACGTGTTAATTAAACAAAGGAAACTGTCAATAGCTTGTATCAAAAGAAGTGTTAAAATAGCTGGCACTGTATATCCACGCTCTTTTTCCATCATTGTGAACCAGGCATTATAAATTGATTTGTAAGTGCAACAGTGTGCTTGGCTAAAACAACCCTGCCAATCGCGCCACTTGACTAGATATGGAAATTTTGGGGAGTAACATCGATACATCGATGTTTCGATGCATCCGAAAGATTAAAATCGATGCTCAAATATATCGCCAGAAAAACATCGATGGTTTCCGATGTTTCGAAATTTGTTATGAAAACTTAATACTTTTCAATTCCAACTCTATAAGTAAAATAGATATGCATGCCGTCCTAAGTTCGCTGAGCCTAAAGTTCCAAGGCCCAATTTCGTTGAAATTTCAACGGGATCCCGATCCTTTTTTAATGACTAAGTAAGCATTTTTAATATCGAAAGATAAGAAGTAAACCAGGAATTTCTGGAATGTTCCTTTTAAAAGAATAAATATTAAAATGCATGGCCAGTCAAAAAATTTTAAGAGCATAATTCGATGTTAAAGCATCGCTGAAACTGGCATCGATGTATCGTCAATTTAGCCATTTTGGGAAATTGTAAACATCGAATTTTGAACCGATATTATCGATGATTCAAAAATATCGATGCATCGTTTGCATCCCTACACTTGACAGTTGAAAAAACCAGCATTGCCTGAAAAGTGTGTAGACGTGAAAATTTGTTCTGGAGGAAAATTTTAACATTTTGTGGAAATCTTAATATCCTAAAACAAAAAAAAATGTCTTTTGGTGGTCAGCAGAACCAGCCTTGGCAACAGCGAAAGACCTGGATTTTATCAAGGCGCAAGTCCGACGCAATGTTTATGCAGCAACATGCGGCTTCGCAATCTGCCTTTGGTCACTCGGCCATTTTCTCGCAAGGCGGCTCGGCAGCACCCTCCGTAGCCTACCCTCAGCAAAGATCGGCTACTTTGAATCCCGTTGCATTTCAACAACCTAATAGTGGAGGCCAAACCATGACCAATTCTATAGGCACCATAACTAAAATCAATAATGAATGCGGACTTATAAACGACGAAGTTTTCTTCTACCGTAATGCATGTAAGGGCGTCATCCCGAAGTTGGGGGATAGGGTTATATTCGAAGCCACTTATTCCACCACTGGCCAATTTAAGTGGAATGCAACTTTAATTCAATTAATGGGGTAAGAGAACCACAAAAAAAAATACATATATAAAATAAATTAATCAATACTGTCACTTAAATCCCAAAGGAGCAGCATATCTCATCAAACTCAGCAATTGCCATCATTAATGGCAGGTGTAAGTAGCGGCAGAAGTGGTAGTGGTTATAATGCAGTTCCACCACCCAACGAATATCAACTTGCTCAAATGCAACTGCAACAACAACGTCATGGCTCACCAAGACGTTCTTCTCCTTTGCGAGGCGATCGCTCTAACTCGCGAAATGAACGTGAGCGAGAACGACGTGAGCGGACCGTAATATTCGCTCGAGGGACAGAGAAGATGTAAGTTTATGATATTTAGAAATACAAATCTAGTATTCTTACAAAGCTTTAAAAAAAATCCTTAAATAGGATGAAAGAGAACGCAAACGTCGTCGTGAGGATAATGAACGTAGTCGGGAACGCGCCATTGCATCCATTGGGCGGCCTCATGATAGAGATCGTGACCGTGCGCGCCCTGATAGCAAATCAGATCTTGCGTTGGAGCGAAGGGAGCGCGAACGGGAACGAGAGCGAGAACGTGAGACGTGAACGCGAACGCGACCGGGAACGGGAAAAGGAACGCGACAAGGAGCGCGGGGAACGTACTGAGCGAGAAGAACGTCCTGAGCGCGGAGAGCGTTCTGAACGTGCAGAACGACCTGATCGTGGAGGGCGTCCTGAGCGCGCTGAACGAAGTCCACATCGTCCGCCTGCAAAGGGGCGACGTACACGTGCAATTCGTCGGTATATGATTCAGATACCAAAAAATATATTACCTTAGTAAGTCTGAAATATATTAATATTATACTTTTTTGTTTTGAGTTTTAACTGTTTAAAAATTTACCTTCCAGCAATTCGGCTGATGTTCAAGAGTTACGTCAACGTTATGAAACAATGTATATCCCATCTGACTTTTTTCACTGCAAAATTTTGTGGCCTAAAGTTTTCACGCCGGAAAATTCTTTTTCATTACGACGTCCATGTCAATTCCATGTAATGCATCGCATAGTAGATTCTCCATTCGAGCAAAACAACGATGTACTAGAACCGTCTGATGCCGACCACAGATACTCGGCTAAAGTGATGCTTTTAGCTTGTCCCCCAATAGCCGAACTTTATCAGAAATGCTTGGAAGATGACGAAAATGATAACGAACAGAATGCAGTGCATCCATCTCGTTTAATTAGTTTCCTCGTAGGTACCAGAGGAAGAAACGAGCCAATGGCCATTGGTGGCCCGTGGAGTCCATCGCTCGATGGTGAAAACCCTGACAAGGATCCTGCCGTATTAATTCGTACGGCCATACGTACATGTAAAGCATTGACTGGAGTCGATCTATCACAATGTACTCAATGGTATGTATTCTGAATAGGTATAGATCTAGCTTTTAATTGAATTATAAAATCAATTATTTAATAAGGATAGCAGGATTAACAGTTTCTTAGCCGTGATTTATACCAGATTTGTAATTTATTAATCTAAACATTCAAATAGTTTGGTTATTTTTATTAGATCATGGTTTTAAAACTTAGGAACTAATCAAAATAGTTTATCCAGCAAGTGAAAACATATTAAAATCTCAAGGTTCTGGTTATACAAGTTTTATCAACACAATTTTATTTTCCNTATAAAGTAGTATATTTCCGAAATCCGCAAACGTAGGATTTGGGTAGGTATATTCTGCAACGTAAAATGATCCTTTTTATCTTTAAAATAAGCCCCTTATCCCGAAAGCCCTAGGTACTGTTAGCTTCCGTAATAACTGCCAACAAGGACTTAGTAGTCGAATTCCAACTAACGGGGTATCACACTTTTTCTGCTAAATGTTTGGCCGAGATTCTTTTAGTTTTTCTTGATATTTTACGCCGCCTCCAAAAGGCAAATAATTTCATGAGAAGCTTTTTCATAGCATAAATATTAGCTTACTAACTAAGATTGGTCATTTGTTGCCGAGTGCGACCGTTGAGAAATAAACCTGTTTCTAATATACAAAGTTGCACGGACCACGGATTGAACTTAGGTTCTACCGGGACAACAGTGTTACCTGTGAGCAACCTGATGTTGGCTTGTCTAAGCCCTACCGGTTCCCAATATTTATTGTGTTCTCACTTTATCTCTCGGTAGTAGTAAATACTGAATGGTTCCAGCTCCTCATGAATAGAAGAATAGACCAGGAAAGGCACGCTCTCAAACTTGTCGGCGAAAAAACAAATTCTTTACCAAGTTGATATTTTACCCNTTTTATCAACACAATTTTATTTTCCTTTTTCTGGTAATCACATGATTAGATAGATGTGCAGATATATGTATATATAGTATTTGTTTAGGTATACACTGCGACCAGGTGGTTTGATGCAATAGCTTGTATGATGGCATCGTATGTAGATGTTTTGGCTCAAGCCTTGATGACCCGAGATATATCTCTCAAATTCTTGATACTGCTCTATGATTATGTGCTCGAGAATAACTTCCATTGCCGCCGCAGGGCAGAAGCACATTGCACCTGTGATGCATAGAGTGAACGTCTGATAGTCGCTAAGATGGCTCTCCAAACTCAAGCCACCGGTCAATAGGTTTACATGGGTTTTACAATTATCCAGTTTGGCGTTGAGTACGATGACAAAATATCTAAATTCTGCCATCCATAGCTACAGTTTTCATTCCCGGGTTCTTCATTTGACCAAAGGAAAGATGGCTGTTTTTCTGGGATTATTCTGATAACACAGCGGCTGTTCTGGTTTAGTGGTTAGCAGTGCGCGCTATCACCCCGCAGGTCTTGGGCCCAAGCCCTGGTCAAACCAATATCGGAAAGAAATATAGAAAAAAGTTCTTTCTTAACAGCGGTCGCCCTTCGGCAGGCAATGGCAAACCTCCGAGTGTATTTCTGACATGAAAAACAGCTTGTAAAAATACAATCGCCGCTCGGAGTCGGCGTAAAACTACAGATCCCTCCTCTTTGTGTAACAACATGAAGGTGCACGCCACAAGTCGGAGGAGAAGCTCGGCCAAACACTAACATATATGTAAGCGCCAATCTATTATTGTAGAACCAGGCGGGAAGGTGACTGAACACCTCGATTATATAGTTCAGACATACCGCCTCGTGCGGGATATTGTCGAAAGCTACTATTATACAAAAGAGACACAGGCTAGAAGGTAATTAGCTGGTTCAGTGAGGTTTTGTGAATCTTACTGTCAGGTAAGAATGATGGATATTAACGGCGATATGTACGTATAATGGTCTCGTTGAGGCTATATACACAGTCGTTTAACTTCCCTTATACACTCTATTCCATTAGTAAATACCTGTGATTTGACTGTGATGACTTCGAATGTACTCTCAATTGCGAGTACGGTTGTACCGATAAATACTGGTCTACGCCCGGCATTCCATATAATTAAGTCGTTGCTTAGGATAAATTCTAGCGGTGACTCAACCTTGCTATTAACTTTTGTGCCTCCATATAAATCCTGGCTGTTGCGAAGATGAATGCCCGTTATACTCAATAATATCCTTAAGCAATATGTATGCTTTAGGGCTTATTTACAAGAGATCCCATATTATCTTATTAAAAATCTGTTTTAAATTCCGAGTCGAACATTCTCCCAAAAACGCCCTCAATTCTGCTGTCTATCTCAAACTTGTACATTGTTATGCCCTCCATAAGCTCCATCATACATGAAGGGACGGCTGCTGGCTGCTTGCTATCTTCACAGAGTGATGTTGCTCCCAGCCGGCTCTGCATTTTCATTCTCGATTTGTTGCGGGCTGGATTTTGTCTATTACATCCGATCCAGAAACGGTGCTGCCAGAAAGTTTCCTCCATGGTTGGAAAGTGTTTGCCCGAACGTTTTATTTAATTTGGGGGGTGCCTATCTTGGCGTTCTTACACAAATAGAGGGACCTACAGTTTTACGCCGCCTCCGAAAGGAAAGGTATTTTATGAGATCCTTTGTCATGGCAGAAATACACTCGGATGTTTGCTATTGCTTTCCGAGGGACGACCGCTGTTAGAAGAAACTTTTTCTAATTAAGATACATGTCGGACCAGGAATAAAACCCATCCCTCACGGGGAGATACTATGCACCTCTAACCACTTCGCCACGATAGTCGATTAAAGCCGTCCCGCGTTACACTTTTCACACGACAGTCGGCTCGTAAGTAACCGAAACGACCCAGATTTATATCTGGCCAATACTTGTCCTTGCAGCATCATTCCCCAAAAATTCGTTGGGGAATTTGTATGCTTTCACAACAACAACAACCTTGTCCATGGCCACGATTAGACGTGGGGCCTTGTCTTCGACGAGCCCACCTTGAAGTGTGTGTTCTCCCGTTTTGAGCCTTCAGCATTCTGATCGCTTCACTGAGGTCCTGGAGTCTTGTCCTCGCTTCTTAAAAGAAATATCGTCATGGTATGGGTCGACAGATGCCATCTCCTTTCTTGGTACCCAACGTTGGACCTTTCCATCTCCCAACCTTCGTACTTCAATATCTTATCCATAACGCCGTCTTGGAGGGTTGTCATGTCATCCGTACTCAGTGATTATGCAGGGTAATCCATAGACAAGGCCGTCGTACGGATTCCCCTGGGGCTTCACAATAGCTTGGATTTTGCTTATCCTGCGGTGTCAGATGTCTGCTGAGAGGAAAGTTGTCCGATTTTCAGTTGGCGAGATTCTCTGCTATTTTGTTTCCATGATTATTCGTTCTTCAACGGAGCGGTTTCAGGTGCGGGTGTATTCTCTTCTCCCCGTAGTCGGTTTTATCGCTTCTCCGCCCTTCAGCGGTCGAAGTTCGGAAGTCCCTCTCATGTTTTCGTCGCCACCTTATAAAAATTCCCCTTGATATATATATCAAATGAAAATGGCACTGAATCGCTAGTACGCGCCAACAAGTTAGATTCGTAGGATCTAATATAGCATTATTGGCTATAACGAAAGGTGTTTAGGCTGGCTTTAGTAAATAAATTCAATAAATGACTAAAAGAGGTATAATACAGGCATCGAACATCCCTTCAGTGGCATAGAGTAATGTAGCATAATAAAAAATTGCTGCTTCCTTTGTTTTTAGCATTGAATCGTGAAAAAAACCTTTTGGCGGTTCTGTAGTGTAGGAATTTCAATGAGCCTCAGATTTCAAAATCATAGAATATGGTTAGCATATGTTAATTTTAATTACATGAAATATATGTATGTATATACGTGAATATATAAGTTGTCATCAAAAATGTTACCCTTTTTCTTATGTGTATTGATTAATTTAAGATTTCAAATTTTTTTACCCAATGTGTATTTAACAGAGACAACCAATGGAAAATAGGATATGCGTAAGCTTTTTTCGCAATGAAATTTTATTTTAAAACTATTGTAAGAAAAAAACATGATACTAAGTGCCGTTTTCACAGTGAGAAGTTAGCTTACATTCGGAAGTTAACTATGTATAGATTGTATGTATAGTATGTACAAAAATTGAAAACTTAATTTCCGAATGCGTCGTGTTAACTGCTCACTGTAAAGATGACCCTAAGTATAAGTGAGAAAGCTCTGTAAGCATCTTTTTCGCTTAAAGGTAATGCAAATTTAATAAAAGCAACAAAAAAGCTTTAGAGAGAAATACATATGCACGTAATGGGAATTAGGAACAATTTATTTTGATTAAGATATTAGATTTTCTTTACTTCTATTGAAAAGATCTCGAGAGCCATGGAAAACCATACGCGGGATGGATGGCCAACCTAGTTGATTACAATGTGCGATAATTGAAAAAAAAGACACGAATACGCTATGGCAATTGTGAAAGAGGAAGAGCACTAGAATACCCAGTTGCATAATTTTAAGACCGCCACATACATATTAACAAGTTTTGACTATTTAATTTCATGTTATTTAATTATTTTCTTATTTAAATATAGTTCATTATATAAAAAACACCATACTTCAAACTTTGTGCAAAAATTATAAAAATTCAGCGGATTTTCGCCAAAATTTTACACTTTTTTTAAGAATTTTTGGAAAAGTTTGCGTATGCAGTTTTATAGCCCATGCAATTTAAGTATAATAAAGTTGAGTTTTATATGGCTACAAAATACCGCCTATTTTTGGCATTTTTTTTTTTTTGACGGAGAATGAACTATATTTTTATAAGAAAATAATTGAAACTAAATGATATGAAAATAAATAGTCAAAACTTGTTAATATGAGGCGGTCTTAAAAATATGCAACTGAGTGTATTTTACCACCTGCCTTCTGTTCCTAAATCCCACAATTTGATTTTGTCTTTACAATTTACAAAAAGCTAGCGTTGATTTTTTTAAACCTCCTTGCTAAGTGCTTATTTACACACGGGGATTTTTGTTGCGGCAAATCGAAGTTTGTTGGGGAGTGCGCGACGAGGAAAGGAGAGGGGCACCGAGTTGCCTGTGCTCGGAGCAATAACAAAAGGGCGTGTATAAACACAGACTAACGGTCTCCCGCAGTTTATTTCATAAGAAACTCATGCTTATACGGAAAAAAGTGCATAAATCCGTCACCAAAAAAATTCTCAAAAATCTACGCGATTTTATAGCCGGTTGAAACTTGCACTTCATTGGACTGAAATTGTATGG